TATTTCGACTTAGCCGCCGTAGGTTACACGAGAATTGGAAGGAATTAGCGACAGACTCGCCGATTTGCCGCACGACACTATCCACCGTAATGCCAATTTAGTTATTGGTCATAAGCATAAAAAGATTATTGACAGCAAAAGAATTCACCTTTATATATTTACGCAATCCAAGGAATTTATTTAATAAAAAGAGCTCAAATTAATTGTACAAAGAAACTATCCTATATAGCGACCACTAACCCTTTTATAGTTTTTTATAAGCAAAAAAGAGTAAAAAATACAATTAAGTAATAGAAATTAAACTATGCAAAAATGAAGTAATGTGTCGAAAGTATATTAAATGTAGGAATAATTGTGGAAAGTATATTGATTGTCAGTAGAATGGGTCGTCAGTGAAATGATACGTATCCTAATTTATTGGTGGTGACTTTTTTTTTTGCTTTTGTTGCTGTCATTTCTTTTAGTGCTATCATATGCTGATGTTTTTTGGTATTGCGTGACATTGAGGATTAATATTTAGAGATTAAGGTCAGTACTTAGTTTAATGTTTAGAGTTTGTTTAGTTCAATAGTTGAAGCTTTTAATATAGTAGTTACATAAAAGGTTTAGAGGAAATTTAGCTTGAAAGTTGTAGTTTTTAGTTTATTGACTACGCAGAATTTAGATTTGTCATTCGTTGCATAAGAACGGTTTAGAAGCGTTTGTTATGCAACGCTTTAAGGAAGCAAGTTTGTTGTGCGACGGGGGGTTTTTTTTTACATAAAAAAGTTAATAAAAATCGGTCACATAATTTTGCTGGTCAATGTTATCGTAGGCAGAAGTTCGTTTGATTGCCTAATAAATTCAATTTAATTTCATATTATTTATACAGTTTAGAGTACCTTTTAAAAAAACGAAAACCAACTATAATAAAGTAAAAAAAACCATATAGAATGTTTCATTAGAGCTGTAGGAGTCAATATCAAAAATAAGATCTAATTCTCGTTCGTTTAAAAAAATTAGCTTAGCAATAGGTTGATTTTATCGGGTTTTGAAAAGTTATTACTATACTAACTTTTTTAAATGGACGAGAATTAGATCCTATTTTTGGCTATGAAGTCCTACAGCTCTAAAGAAACTTTCTTTTATTTAGTTTTCGTTTTTTTAAAAAGTACTCTAAACCGTATAATAATGTAAAATTAAATTGAATTTATTACCCAGTCAAACAAACTTCTGGCTATGAGGTCAATATGTTATAAATAAATGATATTGGTCGATAAACACGATTATTTGACCGGTTATATCAAACAGAGGTAAGTTAACGACATCCTTCTAGATATTTCGAGAGTAAATTATACAATTTCCTATATGGTTCACTATTTTATGTGGTATTCTATAGGGACATAACCATATTACGTACGAAATATAAAAAATTTGACTTTCTTAAATAAAAATATTTATTAAATTCTGAGTGACTTCATTAAAAAAAAAAAAAAACATAAAATTTATATCTCTTATTTAAGCATAAAAATTGTTGCCATTTTGCACCAGGTAACGAAAAAATCTCAAATAACGCGCAATATTTTTAGTTATTCTCATCCTTTTAAAGGACGTTATTGGAAAAATATATGCAGTCGTACCTGTGTTATATCACCCCTTTTTTCTTTATATGTTTTTGAATTTTTTGGGAGATAGAACTCAATACATAAAACATATAAAAAAAGGAAATTATTCTGTCTAAATTTGGGGACATAACTAAGGCAACAAATAAGAGGAGACATAATCCAGGTATGACCATAACAAATAAATCGTCCCAAGTTTGCCCATTTGTAACAGTGTTTCTCTGTTTTTAGTACTTCTTCCTTCGAGACGCATTTATGGATACGGTTCGTTAATATCGCAATATGGAAACGATTCAAGATTTTCGGACGGATAAAAGAAATATTCAAATGTAAAATCGGTATCAAAAGGTTGAAGGGCCCCAAGCTGAAGCGAATAATTTGGATCCGACCAAGGAAGTGGCTCATTGGGTGTAGTATTAATTCGTAAAGAGTGATCTGAGTCGACAGTGGACGACTGTAGTTGGATATTAGGATCGGCAAGGGATGTTGATGTAAAATTAGATCCAGTTTTTTGCAATTTCAATAGATCTCTAAATTTTTCTATTGTTATGTATTTTTTATTATTAGTATGAAACTGTGACCTAGAAATGAAATAGGATATGAAGCTCTCGTAGTAAAAGAAGGCAGTGGGAAATTTTAATTTTATGTAAAAATTTTATAATAATTATGTGCCTAACTAATTCAAATCTTTAAATTTGAATGTCCCAATGCTTCCTTTTGTTGTGGGTTCCATATACAAAGATTAATCGTACCTTGAGTAATTTCTATTTTAGTATTATTGCTAAATTCCAGATATACTTTGTCATCTTCTCGAATAAAATTATAGTCAAGAGGTGGATCTAGTCAAAATAAAATACTCAATGACATTGGTTAAATTAATTAGTAACTCTAAGGCACAAAAACGGTATATTTCTTACCTTCTACAGTCATTTTACAATTAATGCATCGAGGAATCTTTTCATTTTTGATTTTGTTTTTTTTATAACACTCTATGCATTGAATCAAACACGCAGTTTTTCTCTTTCGGCATCGCTCACACCTGAATTTTCCTGGTATTCCACTATGTACGCATGCTTTTTTTTGCTCATAGCAATTTGCACATCTGTCTGATAATACTGGCTTAATTTCTTCTAACGGCTGAAGACCGTATACAATATCATTTTCGAAAATAGCCTCTTTACTTAATTCTGGTACCTGAACATCAATTTATTTAGATGATACTCGTAAATATATATATATTACAAAGTATTAAATTATTAAGCTTAATTAAACCTGTTGATTAAAATCTCCATCGTTTTGAAATTCCGTTATAATTCCAAAAGTGTTTCGCCTTGGTTTTGGACCACGTTTTTTAGATGGAGAATAAGTGCATTTTAGATTTTTAAGTGAACACCTTGTACATTGTTGATAAGAAGAATTGGCTTCACATTTTCTCTTTGACTTTACACATTCAGTGCAAGCCATATTTGCATAATTTCTCGAAGGTTTTTGTTGATACATGTAATTAAATTTAAATAATATATTTACTTTACTAAAATGCTTGGTGCTAAACACCAGTTATATATCAAAAACTGATAGTAATTGATGGTTGGTAATTTTAATAAAATACTCAGAGCCAAAGAAACCTTTTCTAACTCTAGTTTTAATTACTAACTTCAAAATCCAATCCAATTTTGATTCAAATAATTTATAATACAAATTGAATTATATGGTGTTGATCACCACAGGCGTATTTTATAATAATTAATGCTAATCGTTCCAAGTAAGTGCATATGTTTTTTTTCTTGCGAAAAACATTGTCGCAAAATGTATGACTTGTGCACCTTGCGACGAGAATAGTCGGCTTGTACCTTATTGCGACAATAATTATCGGTAATTTTTCTAAATATATCCTTTATTTATGAATATCCGACAAGTTCGATCGGAACAAAAGATTTTGGTCGGAAAGTTATACAAGCTATCATGCTTGGATGTAATTAAAAAGACAAAATTCAATTCATTTACAATAAATACTCTTTAGAGATTTTCTTACAATATTTGGCGAAGAATTTATTTTGTTATTAATCGCATGAACTGGTAAAATTTTCGAAAATACAAAACAGCCACTCTATTTTACCGTTTAAAATTCTTAAATCATATAAATTATTTTTGCTAATTTTTGTTCTTCGTTCAATGTCTTAGAACAATGTCGTCAGTATTTAATCCGCCATTTAGTAACAAGTGCTTGTTTTGTGTTAAAAGTAAAAAAAAATGTGATTATTATGGAATGCCAGGAGAGTTCTTATGTAATAGATGTATAAATAAAGAAGAATGCCGATTTTTATGTGAAGGTTGTTATGAAAGTATTAGAAGTGGAAATTTATTAGACTTATGTTCAGATTGTAAGATGGCTACAAAAAGTACAGAATTTTGTCCTTTCTATTAAAAAAAAAATCCCTATATCTGGCTTATAAAAACCCAAGAAGTATTCTTCTTTCTTATATACAATCTCCATTTTTTATTTACAAGAACCACCCGAAACGTATGACTTTGCTATGACTATGGATGTTCCAAAACTTTATCTTAGCATTGAACGCTCAAAATGCAATCATAAAATTGAAATTACTCCTAGTAAGAGTCATCTTGAAATTTCTAGATTCTATTATTTTCAATTTTTAATCTTAACAATTTAACAGCTTTTATAGACCAAGTGGCAAGATTGTATGCTACTTATATTAAACCTTTCTCAAATTCTTCCGGACTTTCTGAAGTAGTTATGGGTAATTAATGAAAAATATAAACATGCTAAAATCGTATATGTAATAGTTATCGCATGGATTGAAAAGCTGGGCAATTAAATCTCGTAAATTCGTGATTAATATATGCCCATTATTTTCATATCTCGACGATTACTATAATTTAGCTTCAACGAAATTTTTGATAACTAATTTTATAACAACAGTACCCACCCCCACTCTACCTGTCTCGAGTACATTGTCACCTCAACCAAATGATTTTGTTTTGTCCGCCGATCTTCCGAATATGCCACCATATACACACGATCCAAGATTAGATATTTACAATCCAATGTCGTTGCAATATTATAACTTGAATATTCTTCCACTCGATGGTCATTATCAGCAAGGCGTTTGGTATCAATCCTTTAACGGCTGATTGTTATTCTAATATAATGAAAAAATAGGTAAAATTATTTATAAAAACATTCATTTCAATGTAACTCAAGTTCGAAAGCTGTTTCCAGAAAGGGCATGGTCTAAAAAAGTTAGCCAGCATTAGCTTAATGCTGGTTGATTTAGTTAGCATTATGTCCTCTCTGGAAAATGGCTTTCATAATTTTCGCTTTAAAAAGAAAAAAATGCTAATGTCAATCTTAATGCATATTCAAATCTTACTAGGGCTGAAATAGTATTAAGGTTTATTGGTGTATTATGACAATTCACTATATTTTTATGTTTAACTTCACACATTATGTCAAATAAAATATCGTTATATTCGTCCAATTCTTGATCTAATATTGTGCTTCTTTTGAAAGTAACTATTTTACCAGAATGTAGCCAATGTTATTTAAATTAATCTAGACATGATCTTGATGACAATAATAGCATTTCTGTGACTAGAGATGGGCAAATCTAAGTTTTTTGAATCCACTGCACAGCCTGCACTGGCCCGAATTATAGTAGTTTACTATTAATGTGGTCCAGAGCTCCGTAATCTTCCCATGCACAGCGGTTCATCTTTAGCTATGACCATGATGGAAGGTTGAGAATATTATAAGCGCTATATACTACTGAAAGAATTCTTTGTCCTCAACACATATTGATGATAATTACATAATATGCTGAATCAAATTCTTCAAAAAATAGGCTCTTACAATTTCTATTTCCATAATATTTTATCATCTGGCTTTTCCAACAGAGTTGCTCACTTTCGCATTCCAATGTTAAATATTATCTAATGCATAAAATGTAAGGAGGTTTTCCTTTGATTGATACGGAGTCGTGTTTAAATATGATTCTTATCTGCGGAAATATAGTCGCACATGATCGATCTAATCATGCGACTCAGCGGAAAAATTTTCGATCATTGTCGGCATTATTCCACCCATTCAATGATTGGAAATTTATTCAGTTGCGGAAAAATAGAATGCGATAATATCCCGCAACACATGTAACACACGTAGCCCGTTAAGTACATTTGTGCAGTGTTGTACATTTTTCACTATCCGGGGCCTTTTTGACCATGTCCAATGTCCAAATGTTCAAGCGTCCAAGAGTATTCAAAGTATGTCCAAGCTCTAATAATTTGTCTAAAAAATATATGATTATATATATTTTTTTAGGTTTTGAGTATTTTTTACTTCGAAATGATATAAATTATATTTGTAAAACTTTGAGTAATTTTGATCTATATTTTGTTCAAAAATATTTGAACTCATTTTCAAAGCTGTCCATTAACAATAATGCGTACGTACATTATGACTTGGCTAGCTTAAAGCATTATAGTAACAAAGTCGTCAATGCTTACTGTCCAACAGGATGAACCATCGATGTTACACAACTAAACGCTTCACTGACAATCAATTCACCAACACTTAATTTATAAGTGCTGCGCAACGTTGTCGCACGAAACCAGGAACGGGAGAAGTCTACGCAGACACCATTTCAGTCACGGGAAACCACATTCTTCATTGCGAGCCATTCCTGGTATGACTCTTTATAAAAGAAGCTGATAGTACTCGCAATCTGAATATTGGTTTGAATTTCAGTGACTGAGCCTAAAAACCTATCAATGAAGTCAATATCTGACTGCTATACAGTTGGTTAGCAGAAATCCCAGCGTTACCACCAATCGAGGGCGCAGTCACATGATCCTCCGACCGCACATGATTCCGATGGAACTATATACATCGTCATTACTACGTATAATAAACTTTATAATTAATTACAAATAAATAATAGTTTGTAGTTTATTATTACAGGTGTTTTTTTAAAGGCAAAAAAAAAAAGCATTACTTATAATAAAAGCATGGATAGCGAAAGCTCTGTAGAAACTGGCACTAGGTGCAAGTGTGTTCGACCTCTTAATGATTTCGTTGTTGGTGAAAATGACGTTTGAAGTCATTGTATAACTTGCCATATTAATACTTCTCAGACAAAAAATGCAAGAAACAGGAAGCTGAAAAAGAAAAATGTTATTAACTTCACTAATATCACTGATTATACTTATTACACACTTTTGGAATATAAAAATTTGAATGATGATCTTGAAGGACAAACTCATTTTCAGCTTTAATTTAATGTTGATATAGATTCTCTTTATGAAAATGTTTTGATTGAAGTTACTGCTAAAGAAAAAAATCTACATACCGTCAACCTAATAGTTAATGCAATCGGTAATGGTGATAGATATTTCACAAAATATATAACAATAAACATTCTGAATTCACAACTTTAATATACTAATGTAAAACCTGAAAAGAATTGAGTAGACAGCAAAAAAAAATTACTAATACTTCAAAACAACATGGTAGTGAGATGCATATTGAACATTATAAATGTAAAAACTTAATTATGATCAAAATTTATTCAAATATCATAATGGTTAACATATCTTATAAGATTTTACACTCATAATTAGAAAAGATCAACATAACTCAAGAAATTAAAAATTATAAAAATTCTTGTAGGGACAAAACATACTAAATATCTATCAATTAATTAAGGATCAACATATAAATAGACATAAACTTTTAATAATTAAATAAGTTTATTATTGGTAATCATTGATTATGTAGACTGAATATCAGTATTGTGATGATAAGCTTATTTTTGCAAAATTATTCTTTAAAAACAAAATCAAAGAATTCTTTTTTTTGAAGTTAATACATTTGCTTTTTAACTTTTTTTTGATATTTTATCTTTAAATAAATTAATGAAGTTTATAATAAATATAATATATAATACTAACAAATATAAATATAAGTTATAAGCAGTTATAGCAATTGTAGATAATGCAAAGTTTCTTCATTCTTATCTACTCATATTACTAGACAAAAATTACAATATTACTAATATAATTACAAAATAGTTTATAGCATTAAAATTACAACAATTAATAAATATAAAAATTTTTTATACAGACAAGGATTTATTACAAATAAATGCAATAAGGACTATATGAACTAATCTTAAAATGCAATTATGTTTATACTATGTTTTTTATATAATAGAGCAAAAGTTATTATCAAAAACTAAAATTCAAATTATAAAATATAATGCAACTAAAGCATATTAAAAATATACAATAATTAATTCTTTATAATAACCAGTCCTATTAATACTTAGTAAAATGAATTAAGAAAGGTCAAAATCAATGTATTAATTGACTAATAAAGAAATTTACATGCATATAGCTAACTTTATTACAAAAAATTTTAATCAGTATATGCTAATTTCAAAAAAAGCTAGAATATTTATAAATAATCAACAAATAATTTGAATTAAATATATTACTAAAATGTATTAGTATTATTATAATAATAATTTAATTTTAGTATAAGTATATCTTTGGTTAAATAGTACTTTTCAAAATAATAATATTTTTAGACATGTTTCTTATTTGGAGAAACTAGAATTTTGTATACAATTATAGTAGTTGAGTTTCATTAAAGACTTTTGAAAAAAGATCATCTTTATAAGTTTAATCATTCTTGTTTGATCTTTTATGTTTTATAATTATAAAAAGTTTATATATTTATTAAATATTATTATTATAATATTTTTAACTTATTAATCTCTTTTTTGTATATAAGATTATTGCATGACAGATTAATACATTCAAACTATTATGTTATAAACATCAACTTATATTATAATAAAAAGAGTTTTAAAAAGAATAGGACTTGCTAATATTATGAGCATATAATTCTGAAAAATATTTAACAAACTATAAATATTAGATTTGTTTTTATCTTTACTTTACAATAAATAAGTTTTATTTATGCAAACATTTTATTTTTCCAATTAGTCCAAAACTGCATATTTTTTTTATAAGGTTCTTAATTTCAACTATATAATTAGACCTTAATTAAATATCTTATAATAGTAAATAATATTAATTTAGGTATTTCATAATTTAAGATATCCTTTAATTTCATTCTTATTAGTTAATCCTTGGCAAGAAATATACATAACTAGCAATTTAAATAATTTAAATAATGATCATAAAAATCAAATTAACAATAATAATTTTATTGTAATTAATAAAATCAACTAACCTAATACTATAAATATTATAAGTAGAATTTGTAAAAAAAGCAATACCTTTATAGATAAAGTTATACAAAAATATACAAGTTTTAAATAAGATAAATAGTTATGTTTATTTTTTTTTTTTTACCAAGTATTAAACTATAAATTTTTATTAAATTAGGTACAATATATACTTAATGAATCAAAATTTTTTCATAATTCTTAAAAATTTTTTGACAATATAGAATCTAATCTAAACCTATTTAAGAAATTTGTTAAAGATATTTTGCATTATGAAATTAGATATACATTGCTATGAACCTAGAAGAAAAGTAATAAGAATACACAATACTATGAATAAAGTTAAATATACTATGCAAATAATTGTTTTTTTTCTAAATATATAATTTACTTTATATTACAATGTGCATAGCTTTTGTATACAATAATGCTTATAAATTAATAATGTGAATACAGTAATGTTTACAAATTAAAATAAAGTAGTATCTGTAAATTAATATTTTGCTTAACTATATAAAATCACTATAAAAATTTATTATTATTTGTTATATACATAAAATTGCTATATGTATAAGATTATTATTTTAAATTTAATATCTTAGCAATTATATAACAATTTAAAAGATTATCTGTCTGCACCCTTGATTGGTAATAATACTAGATTTTTTGTTGGTTAGATAGCATCACTTGGTTCTAATGAATCTGATCTAAAATTTTGGAACCCTTGCAAAAAATATTAAAATCTATAAAATATATTTTATATTTAGAAATAATTGATAAATTCTTTTGATTAAGTTTTAATAATTAATAATTATTAATATAAGCAAAACAGCGACTCAGTCACTTCTCAAATAGATATGTTATATAATCTATAAACAGCTTAATCAATTAGATATGAAAAGTAGTATATTTATAATTGTAGATTTTATAATATAATTAAACTAGAAATTATTAAAAATAAATTTATAATAAGCACTAACTAAACTGTTCTTATTAAGCTTGAACCCTTTATTATATATTTTTATTTATATAAAACATGTTATACATTTTATTATAATATATTACTTATACCACTTATAATGTTTATACTAATTATACTAATAATAATGCTTATATTGATTATTTTAATTATAGCTTTGATTCATTGATATTTATTATTCACTTAATTTGTAAGATATATAGTATATAGCAAATACAGTATATATTGCTAGTAAACACATTTTAGATAATTAATTAATATAGCCATTAGTCTATTATTGTGCCATACTAATTATCTATTTAAATGAGCTTCTAACATTACTATTCTATTACTCATATTATTATTTTATTTGTCTAATAAAAAATTTTGTAAAAAAATAAAAATTACAAAATATTTAGGATTAAGGACTTTAAATTTATATTGGTTACTAATTTTTATATCAAAAAATTTCTTTGTTTTTATAAGTATTTTATTACAATACCTTTTAATTCTTTTAGCTACTGTTTTTATACTACTTCTATATATTTTATTTTTTTGCTTTCTTTTTTTTATAGTACTTTTGTATGTTTTTTATGCTATTTCTTGAGTTATTATTAATTTTGTATTTTTTTTTAATTTTATAAAAAAGAATTAGCAAGAAGAGTTATTTATTTTATGATATAAAATTTTAATTTAATAAATTATATTTTTTATTTAATAAATATTAATAAATAAACTATATAAATTACAATATAGCCTTTTGCTCTTAGTTTTGCATAACAGTATGATGTAGCTATTATATTTGTTAAATGCTAAACATATGCTAATAATTCTTAATTTTAATTGGTTAATGTTTGTAATTAATAAAATTTCAGTCTATAATTTTGGCCAAAATTGATTTTTTTATTTTTTAATTTCAAAAAAGAATTTTTACAGTTTGGTCTATCTAAAGACAAAACTAGGTTAAGAATGTTTTTTAAAAATTTAAATAATTTTATTATAAATTTGATTATTTCTATTGGCCAATTAAAATCAAGAATTATTGCTATTACTATTAGTTAAAACTTAGAGATTTTACAAAAGGTAAAAGTTAAAACTAGTTTTAATTTTTCAAATATTGCTACTTATTACTAGTGATAATATTACTAAAAATACTGTATCTTAAAAATCTAATAGCTAAAACATGTTAAAGATACTAAATAAAAATGTTTAAAACCCCAAAAAATCTAACTATAATAAAAATTTAAACCTTTATATCTAACTCTAACTTTGATTTAAAATTGTACTTTATCTTTAAATTTGATAAAAGTAATAAGAAGTAGTAGTATTACCATTAGTAATAAATGCTAAAATTGTAATTTTTATTAAAAAAATTAAAAATATTAAAATATTAAAATTGGTAAAACTGTTAAAACTAATAAAATTAGCAAAACTAGTAAAACTAGTAAAACTAATACGATGGGTGGTGCATGTGCACCATCTATCTTAATTATAGTAAAAAGGTGTCTAAGTATTTTTGTTTGTTTGTCTGATGTCTTTATGAATATTTTTATGGGTTATTACTGTAGGTTTTTTATTATGTTTTATATATGGCTTAATTTGTGTTGAGTTTTTTGTAGTTTTTTTTTAGGTAAATTTGTTGAAGTTTTGATGGTAGATTTTTTATTTATATTTATTTAGTTTTTTAAGTTATATTTTTGTGAATAGTATTTGTGAATTAGATAGGTTGGCCTCTTCAAAGTATTGGTCACATGATGAATACCTATATGTTTCTAAACTCCAATAGTCGTAAATTGCTTATATATTCTAATAATCATATATTATTATTTCTTAATTGGTAAAGATTTATCATGTAATAGTACTTTGGAGGGGCAGTTCTGGCTAATTCAGTATTTGTCAATGCTTATTTTGGAATTATACATTTTAGTATTTTTGCAAGAGTTTATTTTAATTATAGGTTGTTTTTGAGTAAGTTTGTATTTGTAATGTGTGATTTGTAATATGTTTTATTGTTATTAGGTAATTATTGTATTATTAATTATTTGTTCTATTTGTTGGTGGGAAAATTTAATGTTATTGGTCTGGTTAAAGTTTGTATAGCTGTTTTAAGAAATAATGAGGTTTGGCGGTTATTTATATATATGTATTTTAAAAATAAATCGATTAGTAAGAGTTTTTATTTTTTGGTTAATAAAACGATTTATTCACCTTTGATTTATTTTTTTATATTAATTTGTAACTAAACTATTTAATTTTTAATGAGGACATATTCATTTTTTTATAAATTGTCATAATTTGGTAATTATTGGTAAAATAAAATTTGTGATTGAATTGAATTTCGATTACATTATTATGATCTATTTTTTTGTTTTTTTTGTAGTATTTTGCTATTTTATATATATACTTATTCATCAGTTATGTTTTGCATTGAGTTTTTATACTTTTTATATAAAATTTTATGATGTCATATTATGCAGATACCATTGTTAGAATTAAATATGTGAAGCAAAATGTAAATAAAGATATTAATTCATTGATAGTATAGGCTTTTGATACATATCCTGTTGATAGTGAGGATTACGATATTGAGATGTCTTTATTTGTACTAATTGACCAGGCAGATAAAGATTTAGATTCTCAGGCTGTTTATTAAAGATAATTTTTTTCTGTTGGGGGTAAGATTGTATCAGGATTCTATGAAGGGAATAAAAGAATGAAGGTAATTGTTTATGTTTTATGATTGTGTGTGTGCTAATTTTTTTAAAAAAATTTTTTTTTGACTTTTAGATGACAGTTTTTATGTCGACTTATTTAATGATTCATAATAGGTTTAATGCTTCGAATAAGTGTCCATTAAAAATTTCTTTAATTGGTATTCCTCAGGAAATGCCGAATGAAATTAATAGTGATGGTATTATTCAAACCTTGGTGACAAATTATGCTGGGCAGGAGTATAATTTTAGTATGAAAGTTGTTTTTTTATGTAATTATTCTCGTTTTAGTTTTTTAAAAAATAATATTAGACCCAGTGAGTCTTTTATTTTTGTCATTAGGGAAATGGAGATAATTAGTAATGAGTTCTACATGTATGCTAAAGATGTTAATTATATTGATGCACAGTTTCTTAACAAAAAGAGTAGTTTTGGTTGTGGTGGTTCTCAGACTTCATCTTCTAAGAAAAATATTTGTTTTAAGCTTTTGGCTACTTATCAAAGTTTCTTAGAAATTTTGAAAATAAAGTTTGAAGGTAAGACAGTCACTTCATCTTCTAAAAGTAATCATGCAAATAAGTTAGAATTAAGTTTATCAAATAATCTTTATTCATCAAAACATGCTTAAGTTGAAGATTTTAATGGTTTTGTTTATGGAGGTTTCACAGCTTGTGAAAATTTTACTAAAAGTGTGGATAGAAATTTTGAAATTGAAATTTCAATAGGTTTAGGTAGTGGTTTTGAGTCAAATTCAGTTAATAGTTTATGTTTACAGAAGCAAGTTCATAGTGATGCATCTGAAGGATCAGTTGGTGCTTCTTATATGAAAGAGGTAAATGATCATGCAGATTTTCATCAGAAAGATGATGCAGAAGGATCTGTAAATAATAGTTCTTATCAAAAGAAAAGTAAACTTCAGAAGTGTCAAGAAAGTATGAAACATACTTTACATTGTAATTTAAGGTCTTGTACTTCAGATATAAGTTTTTCTAAAGTTTAGAAAAGTTTTGTATATGTGTTGTTTTTTTTTATATGCTTATTTTTGTTATGAATTTAAGAAAATTTTTTTTTTATTATATTATATTATATAAACAGTAATAGTTTTATGTAATTGGTTTTGATTTTTTTTTTTTTTGTTTTTATAAATTTATAGTAGTTTTTTTATGTCTTTTTTCTTTTATTGTTTTTGTGTATATTCTTGGTTTTGAATAAAAATCAAATTTAAGAATACTTTTGGATTCAATTTTTGATTGTAGTTTTTGCAGTTTTGTTAGAACTAGAGTTTATTTAATAGTTTAATTTTTGTTAATGATACATTTATTTTTGATTTAATAAATACTATGTTGGATATGATATTAATTATTATTTTAACAGTATTGTTTTCATCTGCGTTTCATGCATTGTTATCAAAGTACTTTTGAACAGTACTAATGTAAGTTGTTAGTCACTATTTAATTTTGTAAGATTTCTTTATATATGACATTTTGTATATAAATGTCTTGCTTGCTAGTAATTTTGCTATCTTTTATTAAAACTTTAATGTTATGATATGATCAAGTTCATGAAAAGGCAACATATAGTTGACCATGAGTGAATACATGCTCGGGTAGATAGAGTCCTATATGTGGTATGGTCTGTTCTTGAGATTTGTCGATTGTTAGGGCGAAAGCTAATTTTACTAGAAATTGTTTCCTTTTAAGTGTGAAAAGAAGTTTAATGTCTAAAGTTACAAATGTTATTCAAGGGAGAAATACTTGTTTTCCTTGTTGACTGCCCATAGTTATTTCTGCTTCTATAATATTATAATTAAATGTTCAACATATCAATCTGGTACTATTGCATAAGCCATTAATTGGATCTAAGTTGCGAAAACACATAATGGGTGTATTGGTTTTGAGTTGTAATTCATGAGAAGGTATGTCTGATGTAGTAATTGAGTTGAGAAATTCTTGCTAATAAAGATTATGGATGTCATCAGGAACTGAGTCAAAACTTTGATAAGTTATAATTTCATCTAGTAGTTGATTTAACATTTTACTGTTAATATCATCGACATATTTGTTTTTAGTAGTGAGTATGGCTTTGTCAGTGAAGTAAGAAGCATTTAAAGAGTAAACAGATAATGATGAATATATTTCTTTTATAAGAATCTGTAATGAATTTTTATCATTTCAATTAATTATCATGTTATTTGATACATGAATCATGTTATTATTGATAGTTTCTTCTGTTCCATTTCCAATTATCAAAAAATTATTAAAATTGTTTGCTTTAGGATTATTCTCAATGCACATATTATGATGAAGACAGAATATTTTTACTTTAGACCATAGGGAAGAGGATTTGAAAGTTGTATTTACAATTTGTGCACAACTGCCTTGTGGGATTATAGGTAGAATTTGGCAAAATTCTCTACCTAATATGAATATTTTTCCTCCAAATAGGATATGGTTTTTCATAATATCTTGTAAAGTTTTATCAAGTGCTTAAATAGAGTAGTAGTTCATCATTGAAATTTCATCTAATATTATTAAATTTGCTAATTTAAGTAATTTAGCTAAATTACTCTGTTTGCTTATAGAGCATGTCAAGTTGAAGTTTATATTCAAGGGTATTTTAAATTTAGAATAAGCCATTTGTCCTTCTGGCATGAGTAAGACCACTATGCCTGATGAAGCCATTGCAAGTGCAATTGAGTGAGTCAAATGAACTTTAGCAAGTAGACAAGGATAAAGGAAAGTTTTTCCTAAACCTAAGGTGGTTATAAGTTTATTTCAACAGGTTGATAATGAAATTGTAAAAATTTAATTAGTTTTTTAGTATTTATCGTTGTAATGATAAACTTATTATTTATATTATTTATATAAAATTGTATATGCGATTACTATTATAATTGTAATAATACCTGCAGGTCCATCAATGAAAATTATAATAGATTTATTTTTTTCAATATTTTCCATTACAGTATCAAATATTAATTTCTGCTTTTCATTAATAGTCTAATTTTTTTCAAATCTTCAGCTGATACAGGAATATTTAATTCATTTAGTATGAGTCTTGGTAGTTCATTTGGAAGATTATATGATAGAATAAGTGTAGGAAGATCAAAGTCATTTAGACATTTATGATGTTGTTCGAGAAGATGTTTTATGTAAAGAGGACTGCATTGATTCAGAGTTGGCCATCAGGAATTCCATTCTTTGCAAAGTCTTCTGACATATATATATAATTGTTATCTCACAGAAATCTTATATTATTTGGTTCTCCAAACAATAGTATAGTAACAAATAGTTGTCACAATATGAAAGGCATTGAAACTGAGCCACTTCATACATAGTTTTATAGTACATTCGTTCTGATTCTATAAGTTTTCGGTTTAATGGGCTATCTTTGAATGTTGAACATTAGTAACCATTAATTATTTTTAAATTATTAAATGAAGTAGCTTCTTTAACATTATTGAGAAGTATACATAAATAATAATATTCTTCTTCAATTGAATTAACTGTATATATTCTTTCTATCATTTTCCCTGGTTATATTTTGTCTATTTTTTAGCTGTTTGATTCTATACATAATAGTGCAGAAACTTGAGATATGTATAATTTTTTGCTTTAGTATCAATTTTGTTCATTTCAAAATATTCAGTCAGCATAGTTTTTTGATTTTGTTCATCTGCAAGTATATTGCTCAGGTTGGATTTTTCTGAAAATATTATATTTTGTTAGTTAGAAAGGTGTATTTGCAAACAAATTACAGAAGGATATATATGTGACATGTCAAATTCAAAAATTCTCCAACATGCTTCAGAAGCTGAAACCCATCAACTATCTAGATACTGACTAATCTTATCTCTGTTTGAAATTTCTAAGGATGCACAATTATGTCTTTTATATATATATTTATATAAATATTTGACTGATTTAATGCTAAAGCATATTTCAACATTTATGTAGCAGTTATACTTGAGTAATATGTAGAGATTATACAGAATAATCCAATAATAATCCAATTTTATATTTTTAATTATTACATATCTATTATTATTGTGCCTGCGATATAAAGGATATGAGTCATCAACTTCACATGTTTCTTGAATAAAATTTTTCAGATAATGTTTAGCATATATGCCTTTCTTTATACATGGCACATCATGATTAAAAGATTCACATGAACTGTGAATCATAAAATAGGTGACCATTTCGAATAATCTGGGTTGTTTTATTGGGTCTGGTATTTCTGCAGATACAAGAGTATCATAATCATCAGCTTCATGAAGCTTGTCTTTTGGATTAAATATCAATAATAAATGTGCATATGGAAGTCCACGTTTCTGAAACTCCACTATGTGCATATGTGCAATTATATGACCAAGAATGCCTTTGATATAAAGATCTTTTTAAGTTCTTCTAATTTTGCTTTAAAAATTCAAGCTATATGTGTATAAACAATAAATTATTTTTGTAGTTAGATTTATTTGATTTAAAATATTTTTTTATTTTTTTTCGATAATAAATTTTTTAGAAATTATCTATAGACAAAAGTTATATTTTACCTGTAAGATCTGGTCTATCTTGCAGGATTTGCATTGACATTAATTCTAATATGATTTCAGGCCACCAAGAATTATATGTAATTGTGATAAATAAATTTGGCCTTCCATACACTTGTACTAACACCATTGCATCTTAATATCTCTAGTACATGTCACGAGGGCCTCCTATAAAGGATGAAGATAAAACAATATGATGTCCTACTTCTGATATGTCGTTTAATCCAGATTTGAAGCAATCTTGTAAGCCTTGATATACTTCTTTACATATTTTATTTTGTGTAAATCGTAAGTAATTAAGACATGCACATTCTATCTTAACATAATTATCAATGATGTATTGTTGAAAAAGTTGATCACCCAAAAAAAGTATAGCAAGTAGTTCATGAAAATGCAATTTATATGCATAATATTGTCTGGCTGTAACTTTTTTTTGTGATTCGTATTGTAATATATTTGGATGTCAACATAATCGCCTTGAGGAAAAAGTAGTGGATATTGCATTGGGTTATATGACCCACTTAATTCAGAAATTCTTATTAACCTTTAGATTGTAATTGTACAATTATATCACATTCTGCATATTCTATGAAGTTATTACCTTCTATCCAGACAGTAGCAACCTGCGAGGCTGTCAGTTTGTTGTAAACACATTGGTCTAAATTATGATCAGCTCTTATAAGCAAGCAAAGTTCAGCTATATTCATATAAGATGATATAGAGCAAAAATTAATAATGAATAGATTTAACTAATTTAATATTAATTTTATAAATTTTAAAATATCTTGATGAAGTTGAGGCATAATGTAAAGTCTATTAGCCATTTCAAATTCAGTATCATAGATGTATAATTGGAGAAATTTTGGTATTTCATCTATCAGAAGCAGAGATCCAATTAAGTAGTAAATTCCACCTTGTGCCCTAAATGTGTAAACTCCATCTTTACCTATAAAAAAGTTACTACTTAGTCAAGTATAGGGGGTTTTTTTTAAATTAAATCTTAGTTACCATTTGCAAGTTTTTCATCCAATTTTACACCTATTGAGGTAAATGCAAAAGCGCTATTGTAAGCTCTAATATTTACATAAAAATTTTTACCTATATTATTGCATCTCATATATAAATTTCTTAGTTCTATAATATTGTCTGTCAATGCTAGTCTATAATTTATATATTAGTAGCATTTAGTAGTAATCAATTAATAGTTATAGATGATACAATGCCCAGGCTGTTCAATAGTAATAATTAAGTAATTTACTTAATTTTTCCTGATTTACAACACATTTCTTGTGTTTCAGTCAAAAAAAGCTTTATATTACAGTATGAACAAATCCAAACATCTGTAAAGCAGTTTTAAATAAAATTTGTCATTGCTTGAAAATTACAGCTAATTTTATAATAGCATTGCTGGTTTTTTGTTGAAGGTTTTTGTCTAAATATTTTCATTC